GAACTTCATGTTAGTTAGGGTGATGGTTTGAAATTTACCAATCAAGCAGAAGTAACAGACCACTCACGCAAGACCCTTAAGGCGTTCACTAATGTAGCGAATATAATATCCATCGAGATTAGCTCTGCCACAGGAACTCAATGAAACAATCGGAAAGTGAACAGAACAGCACCCTGAGGTGACCTCACTGTTTAATGAGCAATAAAGACTCCTTACCTCTTCGAGCCTTATGTACTGCGCTCATATAAACATCCTAACAGGCATCGTATCCGGGATGCTTTTTCTGTTTGCCATACCTTAGTAATGGTCAAATGAAGTAAGATGCATACTCATTCGACTTTGTGAGAACGAGCCTGATCAGACCCTCCCTATCATTGGGTGTGCTGCTCGGAAGAGCATACGGTTAGCTCAATGGGTCATAGGAGCATGTGAGTTATCACGTCGAGCTATGGCTTCGTATTGCCCACTGTCACACCGCTCCGTATCGTCGGATCATGACGCGGAGGACGAAACAACCACCCACCACAGCACCTATATGATTCTCCAAACCTGCCGACGCCATGAAGCGGCGATTAGGGCGCTGTGATGAAAAGACCCACAGCGTGCCTTAGCCAATGAAATATGAATACGTTAAAACTTAGCGCCCTAACTAGATCACTCTACTTCACCTATACCAAACTACGGGCATAGCTATAGGCGGCTAAAGAGTGTAAACAGCTGTATTGTGGCGTTTAACGTCGTGTGAACACAAAACGGTTTAAACCAGAATGGAAACTAATGATAGGGGTCTTCCGATTACTTTACCTCCATGATCCTTTGTCAAAGCCAGAAACATTCATTGGACTGAAAGTGGTGTGTGGGTAGGCAGGGTCCCCTCAAAACGCCTCTAGCGACCTGCATTAACAGACTTCTGGGGAAATCTAACTTACTGTCTTCCTGTAACGGACGAGATTTTACCGAAGTGAGAAGAAAAAGTCAATTTGGGCGGTAAGCTACTGTCGGTTAGGTAGTCTAGAAAATTTAACAGACACTGACTTTCAACTGCAC